AGTTTTCCCCTACTTATACCTTAAGATTAAGAAATGTTTAGGTATAACACTTAATTGATAAGTATACCATTATACCTAATGTTGGGGAGTCAAAATGATACTTTCAAAACTATACTTTTGATTGTGTAAAAATGTATTATTTTATGGAGTCAAAACCTATGGACTCACCAACTTTATGTTGACGTATTTTAAAATGCATGTGTTTTCAGGAACTTGAAAAGCTGGTATGTATTCGAGCAGAAGAAGTTTTACTATTTTCTTTATGTTCATTAAGAAGTATGTCATAGTCGGATATTATGTAATACATACTAGGAAAACAATAATCTAACTTTCAAACATCAATAAAGGTATGTACTTTCTTTAAGTATTGTTCAATGTATGTTATATAACTGTGATACGAAAAATGACGTTACACTACCCGGTGTTTCCGCCGATGGTCGGGGTGTGACAATCTTGAACACGTTAGATAATACAAGAGCGATTTGGATAATGTCAGGATGACCTAGAGATTTCTAGACCATCGTAGACAAGTATACTATATTCTAGAGTCTTATAAAAGCATGTATGTAATAAGAAAAATCTAGATTATTCAAGAATGATCGATACCTAGAAACTTCCATTTAAGGAGTTGTAAGGTACCTATAAATAGGAAGGATGTCTCATTTGTAGGAATCATTAGGAAGTTACCTTGTAAAGTAGTTTAGTCTATAATAGAAGCTTTCTTTCTTACTTCGTACCATTCCTTATCGCATCTCTCGTTGTCTTAGTCATTAGTACATCGTAAGGAAATGATCCAAGCTTGAATTAGTCGCATAAACACTAAGTGGCACATGATGATTGAGTCATCCCGTGACACGTGGTATCAGATCCAGAGTTCGTACGAACAATAGATCGTAGCAATGGAAGGAGGAAGTGATGTAGCTAACATTTCCCGTATTGTTGAGGAGAAAGGAAGGAAGTCCAAGAAGAGGGACCAATCAATAGATACCTTGGCGAACTTGGAGAACAAGATTACCAAGGTTAAGATTAGCGTCGGTTAGATCCTTGAGTGGAAGGATATCGTGGATCAATCTATTAACAACATAAGGGACACAAGTGATGGAATGAAGAAGTCCATCAGTGTCACTAAAGAAAAAGTCCTTGAAATGATCAACACATGGCAAAACGAATATCGTGAGAAGGTAGCCACATTTAAACCTGAAGTAAACCTATGTAAAGCAACTATAGTTAGAGGAGTTTTTGCGAAGATGACACCATACACAGAGGGACCCAAACCATTAAAGTATCGAGGTAAACTCGGACCCAAAGAACTTGACGAATGTTTTTGGTCGATGGATTGTTACTTCAATGCTAGTCGAGTGACAGACAACAAGATGAAGGTCGATATGGTTGTCCTTTATCTATGCGAAAGCGCAACTCTATAGTGGAGAAGGAAGCATGGAGACATTGAGAAAGGCTTATACACTATTAGACACCTGGGGGGGAGTTCAAGAGGCAACTTAAGAGACAATTTTTAATACATAATACAGAAGACATAGCGATGAAGAAACTTTGTGGGCTAAAGCATAGTGGATCCATCCGAGACTATATAGTCGAGTTCACGAGCTTGATGCTAGAGTTACCCGACATGCACGAGAAATACAAACTTTTTTATTTCATGGATGGACTACAATCTTGGGCTTATAATGAGCTCAAGTGGAGAGCTGTCAGAGACATCGACGAAGCTATCACTGTGGCAGGAGATCTAATGGAATTTCGAAGAGAAAGCACGGTTAAGAAGAATAGTGAGGGAGAACAAACTATGTCAAAACCGGAACCAAAAGAAGACACATCCCAACCTTTGAATACGAAATGAAAATCAATCGAAGGAACATACCGAAGAGAAGAACGGGAGGAGATCAAGTGCTACTTGTTTGATGGTCCTCACTTGATTTGAGATTGTCCGAAGAAAAAGATATTTTATGCGATGGTGTTGCAAGGAGAAGAAGAAGAAGAAAAAGAATCTCACATGAGTTCCATGTGACTTCTAAACTCTATGGCAAAAGACGAGACAAAGGAATCGAAATGGAGTGGTTCTAAGGTAGGAAGTCTCATGCTAGTTGAAGCCAAGATGAATGAAGGAAATACCAACGCACTAATAGATCCAGGTACGACTCACAACTTCCTTTCTAAAAACGAAGCAAAGAGATTGGGGATCCACTACACGAAAGAAGAAGGCCACTTGAAGGTTGTCAATTCTCCATCCAATCCTATCCTAGGAGTTTCACATAGAGTACACATGAAAATACCAAAATAGGAAGGCACCATTGACTTGGTAGTCGTACCCATAGACGACTACAACATGCTATTAGGAATGGAATTCCTAGACAAAGTACGTCCATGGTCATTCGAAAGTGATGACACTATGTGTATTACTAAAGGCGCAATCATTCACATCGTACCTCTGGAAAGGAGTAGAACAAGGTCTCGAACGTTATCGACTATGAAGTTTAATAAAGACCTTAAAGAAGTCGTGAAGATACGGAACAATACCCTAAGTTGGAAGAAAAAACAAAATTGACAAGCGACTAGTAATCATAATGATCGAATCAATAAGTACGTGAAACCAAACAATGTTGTTCAAGGTATTGACACATGCCAATGCAAGATAGGGTGGCGATCAACCTTGTGAATTTGTTTGATATTCCATGAGGCTACAAGAAGACCCATAACAGGCAAGGAAGTAAGAACACAAGTGACACCTCACTTGAAAGATCGCTATACAAGAATACTTGACATGGACATCAAGGGTTTAAGTGGGGGAGGGTGTCACGAACCAAGTTTCTAGAAAATTCCACTTTCGTCTAGAAAAATCCAACATGATCAAGTATGCTCGAGAAGTCTCCGGAGAGATCAAGAATGCTCTGCGAGACCCTGGAAGATGCTAGAATATTATAGATGTCTGTGAAACAAATGAGAACGATCTAGAATAATCAAGAGGGCACTAGAAGAAGCTAGAACGACCCGGAAGACTTTGGAACGATCTAGAACATGTTAGTTCATACAAGAGCGATTTGGATAATGTCAGGACGACCTAGAGATTTCTAGAGCATCGTAGACAAGTATACCATATTCTAGAGTCTTATAAAGGCCATGTATATAATTAGAAGAGTCTAGATTACTCAAGAATGATCGGTACCTAGAAACTTCCATTTGAGGAGGTCTAAGGTACCTATAAATAGGAATGATGTCTCATTTGTAGGAATCATTGGGAAATTACATTGTAAAGTACTTGGGTCTATAATAAAAGCTTTATTTCTTACTTCGTAGCATTCTTTATTGCATCTCTTGCTATCCTAGTCATTAGTACATCGTAAGGAAGTGTTCCACGCGACTTAGTAAAAAAAACACTTATGTGTTGTTTGTTTTTTCTGAGGCAAAATGTTTACAGTCTGCGGATCACATCTGTAGATCTCTGTAGTAGAAGAAGTAGACCAAACGTCTGCAGACTGAAAAAAGAAAACTGTTTGTTTTTTTAATATATGCAGGCTACTAAAATAAACTAAAATCTAAATAAAATGATTTTTTTAAACTTCAAAGTGATTTTTTTTAATATTTTATGACTTTGTTATAAATAATTAATGAATCTAGATCAACTTTTATGTATTTATTAAAAAAAATGGGTAATAATTAACATACATATTTGATAAAAACCAACAACTTTTGTTGCAAAGTTATAACTAAACATTATAATTAGTGATCAAAGAATTTGATACATAAATGGATGGAAATAAATTTCGATTTTTCAGTTAAATCCATTAAAAACGTACCATAAATATTTTCTCGAGAAACTGACGATACTGTATTAAATAATATTTTATAAAATTTGGCCAAAAAATATAATAATATATTATGATATTTTTTTCATATTTATATAAACAACTTCAACGATTATTATTGTAATAAAATTTTATTTAAAAATTTATCAAAAATCTCATATTCGTATCGTCGAACGTTTTCTTTTAAGTTTTGTAATTTTTTTTTTCAAATTGTTTATCATTAATAATTTTTTTTTTCAAATTGTTTATCATTAATAAAGTTAGAAAAAATATAAATTAAAAAAAAAACTTAAAAAAAATAAAGATATATATGTTTTTTTAGACTAGAAGATGTTTGAATATGTTAGAAGACTCTGGTTCAAATCTACGCCAAAAAGAGGGAGCGCAGACATTTTTAAGTCTGCAATCTTCAAAAAAACAAACAGTTTAAGACTAATGTCTGCACGGTGCAGACAGAAAAGACCACGCAAATCTACAAACAAAAACTGGACATTATCTGACATTATCATTCTTTTACTTTAGTGTTTTTTTTTTATTTATTTTTAACAAATTACTATCACATTAATATATTTATACTTTATCCGGTTAGACAACATTGTATTTTATTTTATTTTTTATCTTTTATTTTTATTTTACTTTTTGTTTTAGAAGCGAGTATATTAACGTGCTTATACTTTATCTAGACAACGTTTTTCTTCTACTTTTCTTTTTTAATTTTTTATTTTACAAATGACTGTGTTTATATTTATCCATTTAGACAATGTTTTTTCCTTTTTCCTATTTTTATTATTTTTTATTTTACAAACGACTGCATGAGCACATTAACGTGCTTCCAATTTCTATACAGTCCATAATCATTCCATCAACCTGAAATGCGTAAGTACCGGTGCACCAATGACACTTATATTTATAAAATCAACAAAGTTTACATCAAATGAACATGATCAACAACACCACAACAAGAATCGACACCAATATGATAAAAGTCGACACTTCATACCCATTTGCTTAGTGGAAACAAATTGTTCTTTATCCACTTAATTAATTGTATTTGTCAATAACTCAAGATCATCTGCAGTCAACCGATCACAATAAATGGAGACAAAATATAATACAGAAAAGAAAAAAAAAAAAAAACTCTAGTTAATTATATTACTGTTTTTGCTTAATTAGAGTACATACGGGGTTATCTACAAATCTTTAACTTACAACTACCCTAAAATTCCAAATGACGTCAGCAGAACGAACATGTTTTCCCTGATAAATACTACTTACCGATCTAACAATTAATTTCACAGCGCTGATAAACCCAAATCACCTCCTAAATCAAACCCTAGATCATCTAATGTAAAATTATAATCTTCGGGTCTTCCGGGCATCAAAAAATCAAACCCATAATCACCACCACCGTCTTCATCCTTGCTCCGGTTGCCAACCTCCGGCAACTCTTGCTGCCGCCAGTCTGGTAAACTCCGCCGATCAACTTCACCACCTTGATCATGCACTTGGTTTCCTGGGTCGGGTTTCAAACCCGGGCTTTTTTGATCCATCAATTCAAGAAGCTCTTCCATATCAAACAACTCATGATCAACATGAACGTTTTGAAAATCAATCTCATCAGGTTCTTCCTTAACTTTAACATCTTTCCCATCTTCCTGATCTTCAACTTCTTGTTTAACATTCGTCATCAATGGCGGATTACCAGATTCGTTGCTATTCGATTCACAATCATCTTTAACCATTTGACTACCCGACCCGTTTTTTGAGTCTTCAGAATGGCTACACGTTGTAGTGGAGTCGCAACTTGAAGCACCATTAGGAACCACCATTGATTCAGAATAATACTCACTCATGGTTCGACAGTTTGGGAGATTGAGACGAGCACAAGGACCATACATGACTCGGGCAGCTTCATCATAAGCTAGGGCAGCTTCAACTGCTGACCCGAAAGTTCCAAGCCATAATCGACTACCTCTATTGGGTTCTCGAATCTCAGCTACCCATTTACCCCATGTTCGTTGTCTTACACCTCTGAAATTACACCTTGAGTTCTCGGGTCCTCCTTTACCTTTCATGCAACCTTTTTTTGACCCTTTTGCAGGGACTTTACGTGTTGGTTTAGCTTTTTCATCTAATTTATCGATCTTCTTGTTGTATTCCTTCCATTTCGCAAGAGTTTCTGCTACCCCTTTTGGGCCTTCGCGTCTACTTCGGGATTTTCTCTTTCGGGAGGACTCCATTGATAGAATTTGAGTAGAATAAACCATTTGTGTGTTTCTGAATACAAAACAAGAAATCAGCACAGCTCACAGGTATTTAATATATAGGTGAAGAAACAAGTGGTTAAGAAAAAGCCAAATGAAGAGAATTTGCTTGGTGCCGAAGTTTGTTACGATTTATTAGTATTAAATAAAAAAGCAAAATTCAATTTTATTTACTCCAGAAGTTTTCTTGCTCCCAAAGTCTTACACCATTAAAGCTAATGCAGATGTTGATAACCAAAATTATTTTAAGTTTCCATAAGATCGTGAAATTAATAACTAAACAGGAATCATTTACATATGTAAATAGATCGATAGTTAAATAGATCGAGAGAAAAACATACCTGTAGATGAAAATACACAGCAAATTAAAAGCAACCTCACTTCGCTTCACTCTAATTAACAATTCTTCTGTTTAGAATCTATAAATTCGTCGTTATCCGGACAGATTTTGAGATAAACAGAAAAGAATCTCGATGTTTTTCTGTGTGTTTTTTTTGGAGGTAGAAAGCAGGATTGGAAAGAAAATTGAAGGAGTCAAACAGATTTGTGATATTTATAAGCTTCTCTAGATAGCTCTAGTTTTATTTATGTAATATAATAATTTTTTTATTTTTGAATTAAATAAATATCTGGATAGAAATACGCATGACGTGTTCCATGATTTGATGGATCCGTGGCTTGCCGGAAACTGGGAGTTTTGACACGTGGCAACAGAAGGGTCATGATTGCGGCTCAATTTTAGGTCTATCCTTTCTTGATGCCGAAGTGTCTCGGTTTTAAGATTGGCCCCTACAATTTTCATAATTGCAATTATTTCTGGTCAAAATATTAAATACCTTAAATGCCCTCCATTTAATACATCACCTCATACTTCATCGAAAACCTAAAGTCCAAAGGTGCAAAAACAAAATTAATTAAGGATTGCATGAGGGCTTCTCTATAAAATTTTAAAATTTTATTTAATCTAACATTTTGTAATCGAAGTGTATAATTTATTTATGGAACTAGATTTTTAAGTTAAATAAGTATGGGTATATTTGTAAATGAAGTCTATAATTTATTTATGGAACTAGATTTTTAAGTTAAATAAGTATGAGTATATGCGTAAGGATCAAGTAATACATGTTTTGCAATAATATTAGTTGTATGTTTTATTTCATGAATACTTAAAATCCATAAGTTTTGATTAGTCGATAATATATAATATTAAAATTCAACATCAATAAAATAATATTAAAATTCTAAATAATCTAAACTTTAAGGCTAAATGTACAAATATAATAAGATTAAAGTACAAATGACAAATTAAACAAATTAATGATAAAAAAAAAAAAAAAAAAAAAAAAAAAAAAAAAACCATAATTGAGGAGTGTGGGCCGATACATATCACATACGCCAATTTTTAAAAATTCATATGATATAATTATTAAAACTCATTTTGACTACTTAAAACATAAAAGGTAAGGTAACGTCAATTTTGGAGTTATAGTTACACGCTATTGGAAAAGCGTGAAACTATAAATATGAGTCCCTCTCATACGGTTTTTCATTGCAATTTACTCACATGTATCGACATAACCTTATGGCACCACCTACGAGGTCTCGTTCTGGTTTGTGACAACCGCAACAACACGCACACACACAACACAATTTTAGTTTTGTTTTTCTTTTATTTTTTGGATTTGTTACACACACCATGATTTCTTTTACATACCCTTTAAAACTTACAAATCTTGGAGGAATTTATGATTTTGATTTCACATTTGTGTGTACTTAACAAATGAACTTGAAATCTTCGGCTTAAAGGAACTTGGAGACAATATACATCAGAAAAAAAAGTCTCATGCAGAGGTATGTGTACGTTTGTATATTTGTGTGTATGGGGTTGCAAGCTATTGGAAAAGAAGGTTGATTTTCATGGTTTAGTCAGGATATTTGAAAAGGAGTTGGAAAACAATAATCTTGTAGTCTGGGTAATAGCGGCAACGCGTGTGGTCGCTAATGGTGGGGGAGGTCGCCGCTAATACCTTTAGCGGCGACATGTCGCTGCAGATGCGTCGCAGATAATGCTTTGTCGCTAATACATACATAGTCGTTACTAAAGGTTACTCATCGCCGCTATTGTACTCGTCGCCACTAATAGTCCAACGTCGCCACTAATAGTTTGTTGCCGCTAATGTATACAATCCAACAAAATGCATAAAAACTTCCCACAAATCTGAAAAAGCATACAATCCAACAAAATGTATGCAATCAAACAAAATACACAACCACTTCATATCTCAAAATACAAACATCATCACTCAACAAAATTGAAAATTACTAACAATTTATCATCCAAACTAACACCAAAACAGAAAAATAATAAAAAAGAGGAGGAATTCGACCTTGAATGTTAACAATTTCGGAATTTAGCTCAAGGTCGCTGTTTTTGGGGGCTGTGGCGGTCTTGGGGGAAGGAGGGGCTAGCACCGGTACCAACTTTTTGCTTCCTAGTCCACTAAGTCGCAAAAACGAGAGAAAGAAACAAGAAAGTGCATAAAGAAATGTCACAGAGAGGGAAACTGAAAATGGGTTCTCTGCAAGGGCATTAACGGCGACACTTGGAGGGAAAACCCAACACGGTTTCGCTTTCCTCTAGAACCATTGGATTGAAAAAAAATTGGACAGATGGGAGTAATTTTGACGCAAATCGTTGTAAGTGAATATTAGCGGCGACGCCGGGCAATACCTGCAACATGTAACGCGTCAATTACATGTCGCCGCTATTGCCCGACATCACCGGTAATGCTAACGTTTATTGTAGTGTTTCAAGATAAAGTTTGCCTCTTTTTATTATTATCAATCACGGTCGGTGTAGTCATGATATTGAGTGCCTTTGTTTATTATTGTGGTATTTCTTTGAAAGTGTGCAACATGGTAAAATCAATGGTATTCCTTTCGGTTAAATATAAAAGTAAATATGGTGAGATAGTGAAGTGAAATGAATGATGCGTTAACCCTTTCCATTGCATTTAATTTTTTTCGTGTTTTTCTTCGTATTTGTACTTTGCTTGTGTAGCTTATCACTAGTTTTTGATCCATTTTTAATATATATTGCCGGTTCATATATATATATATATATATATATATATATATATATATATATATATATATATATATATATATATATATATATATATATATATATATATATATATATATATATATGCTTACATGGTGGAATTGCTAGATTATCCTTAATTTGGTTATGTTTTGTTCATAGTTATCACATGCATGCTTATTTTTATGTTAAATTAATTAAATAAATTGTATTTTTATTTTCATGTAGTTGTAAACCTCTTCACGGTGAGATTTTTTCCTGGTTATGAATGGCTATTATTTTTATTTATCGTTTGATGTTACTTTGGTTAATTACACTTATTTTTAACAATTAATATTAATTGAGGTTGAGATTCGACAAAGCTTCAAAACGGTTGCATTCAAGGCTAAGAAGCATCAATATCAACCAAGTAGGGGTGTTTAATTTTGTTGATTCAACAAATATAAGATATTAATGATTAATGATGTGAAGGATCGAGTTGACATTCAATGGTGATATCAAACCTGGAAGGGGCCGCGTGGGTTTTTTTCATGATTAATGAATATCCTTGATTTGTTCCCATGTCTAAAGATTCACATATTTAATCTTTTTCCCAATAATTGTTTTGGATAGAGCTTTTCTGATGATATTGTGTTGTCCTTAATGCTTCTTCTGTACTATTTTTCATAAATTTTGAACAAAAGGTTGCAACATGGAGACTATTTAAGAGGCCAAACTAAATAATTGTGTAATGCTTACATGGTTGCTATAAAACAATGTTTCCTATGTTCAAGATGATTCACTTTCCAAGGAATGCTCATGTGTTTGTTCTTGAAAACACGAATATTTAAAAAGAAAAAAAAACAATATATATATATATATATATATATATATATATATATATATATATATATATATATATATATATATATATCAAGGTTATAAAAATCGTTCGGCGGTAGGTCGCCGGTCAATTGGCGATAAGCGACTAATCAGACTCTGTGGAGATTAATCAGCGATTAATCGAGGACCCTAAATTATTTAAAAAATTAATATTTAATAAAAAATTAAGTATTTGGATATTTTAGATTTTAAAATTTTGAAATTTTAAAAATTTTAGTATAATATTTTAAAGTTTGTAAACTTAAAATTTTAAAATTTATAAGTGCATATTTTTCAAGTTCATGTATGTATATTTCTTATACTATAATTGTCACAACTAGAAATTTTGTGTCTTGTAATCACTATACTCAAGTAAATGTTGAATTCAAAAACTCAAGAGCATGTATGATGCTTACACAATGGAAAATTAAACCCCAATTCACTACATCAAGCAATTGGAAACCCTAGAAGTTCTTGATTAGGTCCATTTTGGATTAGGACTTCCTTATTGGACCTAAATGGACCAATAAGCTTCCAATATGACTATCATGGGCTTAGAACCCTTAAATGGGCTCTAATTGGACCCACATCTATTTATTTCAATATTTTGGGCCATATTGGGCCTAGAATGAAAGGAATTAAAAGCTTAGATCCACGAATAACCTAAACTAGTCCAACAAAAATGCAAAAATCCTACCACATTCTTTTAGGCTTAAAACATACCCAAACAAACTCTCATATTGGGCTTAGGGGCAAAAAAGCCCAAATTTTTCCTTTTCCCTTCCAAACTCTCGGCCCAAGGCCCAAGTCCAAGAAGAAATGGAAGAGTTGACTATTTGCTTGCCACCTCACTAGTAACCAAAGGACTTCCATGCAAGAGACCCATACTTCCATGCACCATCCTTTCATGCATCTCTTTTCTTCTCCCTCTCTCTCTTGCTCTCGGCCATATTCAAACACACACACAAAATTCACTCATTCTTCTCTCAAAGATACTCTCTCATTCCTCCTCCATAATTTCGAGATTTAAGGAGTTTTCAAGGAGAATCCATCACCAAAATCATCATCTAAGGTAAGTTGATGACTAATCCATGATCTGGCTACTTCATTTCATCAAAAATCTCTTCTAAATCTATTCCAACTTGTGATCATGCACCTTAGAAGTCACCAAACTCGAGATCTTCAAGAAAAGGGTGCTAAGGCCAAAAATCACTTCATTTCTTCCATTCTTTCTTCAAAAACCGAATCAACACCCAAGGTGAGCTTCATACCCCCTTATTTTCGGTTTTTATAAGTTTTTGTGGGGGAGAATACAAGCAAAGGTGTAGATCCATCATTATGTGTATGTTTTGGTTGAATTCTATGCTTATATGTATGTTTTGTATGATTGATGCTAGATCTAGTTATGAATTGCTAAAAACCGAGATATATTTTATACTAGCATAAAATATACTACTACATGCAAAGTATACCAAGAAAAATAGCCAAATGGCTTGACAACACTTATTTTGGGCTAAAAACTCATTTTTTTTGACACAAAATGTTAAAAATACAAAGTTGAAGGGCCTAAAATGAAATATTTCGAAATCTGATGGGTGAGATGAGTCAAAACAGTTTCCATAATGTATTTTCTGAAAATATACTATTTGGAGGATTATAAGCATAAATTTCAAGCTTAATGGGCTAAAAATGACAATTTCGGCCCAATAGAGCCCATTATGCGAAATTTTCTGTTTTGGAGGGCCAAAACTGTGTTTTTCTGTAAAACAATGGACCACTAGTGTCACAAGTACTTTTAAAAGGTTTAAAATGCTTTTCAAATTTAAAAAGGACCAAAGTTGCAAAATTTTCCAATTTAGGCCAAAAATGTAAAAATTGCGAAAAAGAGGGGTTACAACCGAGAAAACTGCAATTTCAGGGACTTAAACTGTTTTCAATGAAAAATATGCTGAAAAATATTAATTTCAATAATTTTTGGTGTTAACATGTCAAAAAAAATGGTTTAAGGACTAAACCGGAAATTATTTTACCTAAAGGGGTGAAAAAGTAAATTTACAAAATAAAGAGGGGTTGTAAACAGAAAATTTTCAATAATAATTCAATACACTCGTTGTGAACAAAGATTGATACTACGACTCTCGATGGATTACAATACACAATATCACCAACAATCGTTACCAAACGAATTGATTCGGTCTCGAATCAATAACAAATCCAAAACTACTAACACTACAACGCTCAATACACATATGGAACTCTTTGAACTCTTTACTCTCTTGGAATTACTCAATACGTCGACGTACACTCCTTAGGCCCAAAAGTTGCAAATCATGCTTGTCGAGCCTAGCTAGCCCGATGACATGATCTTTAGGCCCAAAGGACACTTGCTTACATGTAGTTGGGTCTAATACGACTCGACCGCGTGTAAAAGGACTTTCAATGGCAAACATGATGCTGGTCCCCAAGGGTCCTTCAGTGCTGCTAGTAAAGTCGGGAACTCACGATTGTGGGTTGGGCTCCGGGCCCTTCGCAATTGCAATGGTCTTGAACGACGTAGGGAAATACCGAGGGTTTCGCACCTTCACTTTTTCTCCTCGGTCATGGGACTACACAAGTCCGGGAGGATTGAGTTGCGTGAATAACTGCGAGTGACGCCTAAGGGATCGCTAGCACGGTTGTCAACTGGACGTTTTCATTAACGTACGTTACAACAATTCACCACTCTCTGTATACTCAATGCCTCCGGAGCTCAACGAACACCTCTAACGTAACGAAATAACAGCACACAAACTAAGTAAAGCAAAGTGATAGGAAAACGTCGGGTTTTCCTAGGGTTTTCAACAAGTACACTTATGAACTACATGTCGAATTTCACAACTCTTACGCTTACATCTATAGAATTCAAACAAGCATACTCACGGATCTTCACATATTTTTACGCTATTATATTTTCAGAAAATATCGGATTTTCTGGTGGTTTTTCAAAACATTACAAACTTTGGATTTCAAACATTACTTATGAACTCACCAACATTTCACGTGTTGACGTTTTTCAAAATACTTGTATTCTCAGGTAACAGATAAGTGAAGAAAGGACTGTACTCTATAATTGTTTTGCGGTTGTTTAAGTAACAATGAACCATGTATTTTGGAATGTAATATTTTGAAACAATGTAATGGATGTAAACGCTACCAGTTGTATCATTCCAATGCTTGGTGATGTATAATGTTATGTTTCATGTATATTCATTGTGATGGTATTCAATTGAGTCACAACAGCCCCCGGACGTTTCCACCGTCTGGTTCGGGGGTGTGACAATAATATTTATAAGTAAATCATAAAAACACATTTTTATTTACTAATATATAAAGACAATAATACAAGTATTTTATTCGATATAAAATTAAATATAAAAAAAACGGTAAAAAGATTCAAAGTACTATCATTTCTTCATGTCAAAATTTCCATATTTTCTTCAATTTATCACATTCATGTCTTCAATATTTTCCACAAATTATTCCAAATCTACAAGAAAATTAAAAAAAAAAATTGTTTAATGCAAAGAATATTGACAAATATACATATGTATATATCATTTAAGATTCACATGTAATTATATAATGTAAAATTCACATGTGATTACATAATGTGATATTCAAATATGATTATATAATGCGATATTCACATGTGACTGTATCCTTTAATATTCAAATGTGAAATTCACAAGAAAATTTTTTAAAAATAATTAACGAAGAACACTCACACAAAATGCATG